GTACCCAGAATGTCTGCAGGCAAAAGAATTTCCATCCGCAATAATCCGTGTATTAAGACAAATCAGATGTACCAATATATGACATACGATGACATACGGCATATACGATATCTGAAAAAGTTTATTTAATGGTCCCAAAAGTCCCAAAACTGATAGAAATGCAAATCATCACTATTTTAGAAGGAAGGGATTTACTGATTTGGTGCGTCGGCTGTGGCTGGAGCCAGAAAGACTGGATGCAGTTCTTGTGGCTAGGACACCAGCGAAGCTGGTTGCAGCCTTGAAAAGCCTCCCCAGGATGAAGGGCGTTCTGGGGTTCGAGCACACATTAGATTATTTCATCTTGTGCGAGAAGGATGCGGGCCATCGTTTGTTTCAAGTACCACTGACAAAGAGGGCAGTGGATTGGGCAATCGTTGGAGGCAATAACAGCCAAGTCTTCTTGAAGATATGGAATGCTTCGTCGCAGCGTGGATCGGCCAGGGACCAGACGTGGACAAGTTTGGCGGCCCAGCTGTCCCGCATCTTGCCTCGGAGCATTGAACTGGAGCAAGGGCAGGTGGTGCAATGTCCTCGTTTTACTGCACTAGACTGTGTCCAGACGACGTGTAAATACGGATGACTATATAAACATGCATACATAAATATATAGATAAGGCTTGGGGTTCCCCGGAGCTTCGAGGAACCTTCAGTTTTACCATCTAATATACAGGTCTGGCCATCTAAGATACAGGTGGGGGGTGGGGGCCGTATAATAAGTCTTATGGACAGATGAAAGATGCTGTTACGTTGATCTTCCTTGTGGTATACAGATGGATGGGCGTGGGAGGGTGATAAGGTTCTGTGGACTGCGAAAGACGAAAGATTCGCTATGTTGATCTTGTCGGTTACAGGGTGGTTCGCTGGGACATCTTATGGTTTGGTGGGGGCACATGCCAAAGCATCTATAGATTCCCATGGACGCATCTTTTCATTTTACATCGCGCATCAATACACCAAGCTGTCTTTCCCTTCCACACCATTTGACTTTTACATCACCATTCGTTTCATCGGCTGCAGATATTCCAAGCAGTCACGCGAGAGCACGGAGGGATGTCTTTTTCAGACCGCCTTAAATCTAGAATCCAAACCATTTCTTTTCAGCGCCTATTGTTGTGCAGTCCCCCAAAGAAACGTGTTTTTGGCCCCAGGCTTATTGATATGAAAGGTGAGCTTCAGCCACGCTTTTCTGCCAAGCAGTTTTTGCACCTGCGCAGCTTTACACTACCGAGCTTTTTGACCATCACCCTTTGACACCAAGATGCTATTTCCCCAGCCGATTTTTCACATCAAGACACTCTTACAACAAGATTCAACATGATCCTACACCACCGTGTCAAGAAGCATTTACCACACATACATTCAAAACAAGATGAACAAACGCTCTTTACATTGCAACGAATATATAGGACAAACGATCAACGAAGAACACATCACACGTTCAAACCGCCCAAAACCGACAAACAAGTCCTGCATCTGCCAAAGAAATGAAACTGGAGTTTTGGAAAGGTCAGAAAAGCCGGCGCTTGCCACGCAAAACGGACGCTGCACAATTTCATACACAGAAGCAGAAAAACAAAAGGACGGCAAAAAATCAGCAAAAAAGCACTTTCAAAACGGCAAAAAACGTGAGAATCACCTGCGCCTGCCAACGAACATGAAGATAGTATTTTTGGGACGGCCACAAAACCGTGCGCTTGCCACGCAAAATGGACGTTGCAGGATTTTTGTTTTTTTGTTACTACCTGTGCATTCTTTGGAGGCTCCCTGTTCAGAGATCTTGCGAATTCCTCACAGGCATGCTTTGGACAGAGATCTTGCGAGTTCGTATCTAGAGATTGCGTGGGTTTCTTCGACGATCTTTATGTTTATGTGTTCCTTCTCCAACATTGTTTGGGGTGGTGGGTCGCGCCCAAAAGCACCTCCGGTGTGGGCGGATCTTTTCCCAGACGTGATGCCAAAAAATATATATATATATATAAGTATACAAAATTTCACACAATATATAATACAATTGTATATATAGTAAGTTAATAAGTGATTTTTTATAACACACACATATATATATATCCTATATATTTTTTACATCTACACAGCGCTATAGAGCTGTCTGTCTGTCTGTTGTGTCTGTCGAGCATGATCGATCGATCTGATCTAGCTATCTATCTACCTACCTATCTATCTATCTATCTATCTATCTATCTATCTATCTATCTATCTATCTATCTATCTATCTATCTATCTATCTATCTATCTATCTATCTACTTATCTACTTATCGATCTATCGATCTATCGATCTATCTATCTATCGATCTATCGATCTATCTATCTATCTATCTGTCTATCTGTCTATCTATCTATCTGTCTATCTGTCTATCTATCTATCTATCTATCTATCTATCTATCTATCTATCTATCTATCTATCTATCTATCTATCTATCTATCTATCTATCTATCTA